GGGGGCGCGCGTGGCAGCGCACACGGCAGGGACTTGGCTGCGTGTGCAGGGCCCGGCTCCCGGCCCGGTTGGAGCCCTCGCGTTTGCACGAGCACCGGGCGCTGGTGCTCACTGGAGCAAGAGGATCTGTCCCCGCTGTCACAGCCGCTCCGAGCGGATGCAGCGTGACAGCTGTCACAGCCTTCCTTGACATGAATTCATTACAATATCGTTAGCGTTGCTGGTGGCTGAGGCCACTGCTGCTCATTTCGGGGGTTGGGAATGGCCAGGGAAGGCAGCAAGAGGCTTTCGCATGGCCAGAGATCCCTCCTGCTTCCCCAGGACACTCGCATACCAAGAAGCTGCGTGAATGGCAGCATGCACCCCATGGAAGAGCCCCACAGAGGCGGCGGGGAGGGAGCTCTGCTCCCAGGCCACCCATCCCAGTAGAGCCCCTGTGCTCCAGGCATCCCGGACCGCCCCGCGGCTCCTGCAGCCAACACCCCCGGCCCCCGGAGAGCAAAGCCGGGGATGCTCCCCCGGCATCCCCGTGTGCCGACGCGGAGGGCCCCGGCGCGGCGCGGGCAGCGTGTTTACCCGGCCCCGCCGCGGGGATGCAGCAGGATTTCCCGTCCGCTCAAAGGCTGCCTGTTTATTTTGGGAGGGAGGCGCAGACAGCGGCATTGTTCACAGAGAAGCCGGGGTTATAAATAGCAGGTGCTCGGGGACACTCCTGGGCTATTCTGGGCCCCTGCTACACAAAAGTGGAAAAGCTCCAGCAGGAAGGTGGAATTACTGAAATGCCGACCTTTCCCGCAAGGGTCAGCGGGAGCAGCGTGTTTGGGCTTGGGCTGGTTTCTGGGCATTATTTAAGCATGGAGGGGGGCAAGGGCAGAGCCTGTGCCTGAGAGAGGGGGATACATCGGGATCCATCCATGGCTGTGTGTGTGCATGGTGGGGAACAGCTCGAGTCCCAGGAGAGATGGTCCCGGGGGCTGGAGCCTTCCCTGCCATCGGCAAGCCAAAGCAGGAACGCTCCCTGTCGATGGCCAACTTGGAAGCCATCTCCGTAGCACGGCCTTGCTCTGTCTTGCTGCCTCCGTGCCTCAGTTTCCCCATGGGAGGTGGAAGGAGAGGCCTGCAAGTGCCCTGCGTACAGCCCGGCACGTGGGCTCTGCCCTGCGCGCGGGCGAGGATGAGCCAAGGTGACTCACAAACTCATGTCAGACCCTTCCTCTCGTTAAACACCCGCAGGCGCTGACACAGCGAGCGGTCAGGACCCAGCAAAGCTGCTCACACCAATGTTTTATCCTTGGAGAAGGTCCATTCCTTTAATGGGGATTCATTTAACTGGGCTCTACCATCGTTAGGAGCCATAAAATGGCACCTTTTGGCTTCTGATTGGGAGGCCACATTGCGTGTAGCCCCCTCGTATCCAGCGCCAGTATTGTGCATTACTGCCTCTCACTCGGATTTAACCAATTTAATCCATGTCTAATACATAAATAAATAATCCAGCAGGAGGGTTTGCATTAGATGACAACAGGCGGCTATAAAGCATGTTCCTCCCCGCTGGAGCCATGTGAGCCGGGCTCCGCACGCCCTCTCATGAGCAGAGCTGCTAATACAGCTGGGCGAGAGGGGCTGGGGGCCCCATGGGCTTTCCTGTTTTATTGAAACTTCATTGTTTGCTTAGAGTTTTATTTTATGTTAAATAGACGCCGTATATTCCTTATAGAGGGGGCAATAAAGTTTCCAAGCTGGAGGAAATTGGTGGAGGAGCAGGGACCGAAACGGGGAAACCTGGCTGTGCCAGCGACGTGCAGGGGCAGCGCTTTGGGGGCCGAGGAGGGTCTGCGGCGGCGCCGGCAGCCCCACACGTCCCCACTGCTCAGGTGTGGGGTGCTCGTGGGACCCAGCACTCGCCCATCTGTGCCGGGGGCCCAAGCGGGGTGAGCAGCTGCCTTTGGGGACCCCCAGGACCGGGGGGTCTGTGGTTCCTCGGGCTGGGAGCATGGGATCCATCCGCAGGTCCTTGCTCAAGGCGTTGTGCCCGAAGCTAAAGCTTCCTCCCCTCTTGTCCTTCCCGCAGGCAAAAAGAAGGCGACGTTGTTCGACAGCCAGGCTCCCATCTGCCCCATCTGCCAGGTGCTCCTTCGCCCCGGCGAGCTGCAGGAGCACATGGAGCAGGAGCTGGAGAAGCTCACGCAGCTCAACATCAGGTAAGGAGCCACCGGCACCCGGCCGGCTCCGCGCCACTGCGATGGGCTTTAAAAACGACGGTTCTGCAGGGGGGTTAATAAGCCCAAGATCCACTTTTCTCCTACCCCACCACTTTGTTCACTTCCCCTCAGTGGTCTGATTTGGGGACATTTAGTGCTATCCTGTGTTGGAGCAGGTCCTTAGCCAAGCAATGCACTGCTCCTCCACTGCCTCTCACTGCCTTCTGCTTTCTCCAGCACAGCTAAGTCCTCTATTTTTTAAAATAATAATAATAATAATTGCATTTTAACTGCTAGCAGTTATTTAGGAAATGGCTGTGGCCAAGGGTTGGCAGATCCCTGCCCCTGCCTTAATAAAACTCAGCAGCCTTGGAAAAAAGCGTGTTTATTTCAATTATTAATGAATTCCCCGGTCATTAAAAGGTGAGAAAAGAAATCAAACTGCCGACTAGGAGCTAAGTTACGTCACCAGGTGGTAGGAAAGGGAGGGAGAACGTGTGTGGATGTGTGTGCATGTGTGTCGAGGCACAGGGGCTCACGCGGCTCTGGCCGAGGAAGCAGGATGCGGCCCAGCCTGTGCTCGGCGTAGGGCCCTTTTCCTATAAAATGAGCAATAACCATTACCAATTGAGGAGAGAAATGAAGACAACCCCCCCAAAAAGCGGGTCTGAGAAGCCCCAAGCGCAGCGGGATGTGGGGAGCTCCCATCCGTCGTTCCCCCAGCAGGGATGCAGAGGAAGAGCAAGGGGGGAAAGAGGGAGCAGCCAGCCCATTTATCCCTCGCGACACCCTCTTCCCTCGCGAGTGTAATTTATGGTGTAATTTGGGCCGCATCCAACTTAATAAAGGGCCACTGCAAATTAGCGAACAGGTTTAAATGAACAGAAGCAATTAGCGCTCGGAGGAGCCCATCAAAGAAGTTGGGCCAATATCGCAGCGAAGCCGGGACCGCGAGCCAGCAGCGGAGGGTGGCTGGCGCGAGGCGGTGATGGGAAGGTGGCGTTTAATGGGAAAGGAGAGGAAGCCCTAAATCATAAAGCGTGACAAGGGCCATTGTGGGCCAGCTGACAAATGAAAAAGAATGGCATTATTCCTTTAAATAACGGCGGCAGTTAGAGAGGAGACAGCCCGCTGTGGCTCGCCCGCGCTTCCCGGCCCTCTCCGCTTGCCCGCGCAGGCGGCGAAGAAGCACCGGAGGTCTTTATTAATTATTAAATAACAACCTGCTCCGCGCCGTGATAGATAACGCTGGGTCTGGCCCACGGGCTCGGGCGGTGGAGGCTGCTCTGCAACGCGGTGGCTCCGCAGCGGGTCGGGGATGGGCACGAGCATCCCCCGTGGTACCAGGCACAGGATGCGAGCGGCTCCGCTCCCGGGGAGCGGGGTGGCCCCTTCTCCCGTTCCCCCACCTTTGCCGCCTGGAAGAGCCGGGAGCAAGAACACATCAACGAGGGGAGAGAGAGAAACTAATAATGATCTCAAATAACCCAATAAACATAAAAATAAAATGTAGGCCTATAAACGTGACGGGCACCGGCAGCCCTGGCCGCTCCCTGCCAATGCCGACTCGTTACTGAAATGGCCGAGCAGCTGTTACTTATCAGTCTGATGGGCAGGAACGAACCGGGGGGCTGCTTTCCAAAGGCTGTTTCCCCCCCCCCCCTACTTTTTTTTTTTTTTTTTTTTTTTTGGATTTTGCGTGTGTCTGGGTAAATTTAGTTCCCATAAAAGTGAAGGACTGTCAACACCGGCTTTGGAGCCAACCATACTGCCGGCAGCTGTTATGCGGGCTGTGCACACAAAGCCCAGCTAATGCACCTCTGTGGCGGATGCCGCGAAGCTGCCGTGGGGCCGCCGGGCAATGGGGAGATGCTCGCCGGGCATTTGCAGCATCGCTCCAGTGAGGAGCTGGGCAGCACTGGGAGGGAACGGGGCTGCTCCCACTGGCCGCCGGCGCTTCCCAGGGCTGCAAGGGCCACCAAGGCTTTTCCTTGGAAAAGGAGGGTGACAGCCCATGTCCTCCCTGGCTCTGCCCGCGTCCCGGCGCATCCACGCGCCTCCTCCTCACGCGGGTGTTGCCGGCTGCTCCGTGGGCCGGCCGGGCCCGCGCGGCTCCGCGCGGCCAGGCAGGGCTCTCTGAATGCAAATTTCATTTCTGAGCCACTGGCGCTGTTTCAAGAGCCGGCAGCCTCCGAGCCCTTCTCGGTGTTACATATGTAACAGCCTCATTGAACTTGACATGTCAAATTCAGGCCATTTGTGCAAAATCTCCCTTTAATAATACCGTTTCATTTCGCTCAAATGAGACTTGAATGCATGTAAAATGGAAAAGGATATTTAAGCGCTAACATTAGGCAGATGTCTTGCCAGAGGCCGATTGAATATATGAGATTTTGAAGTGCTTAACACGTTTTCGGTGCTCCCTCTTAGAATATGTCACCTGGCTTTCTTTTTTCTCCCCCTCCTTCCGTTCTTTTTTTCACCCCTCTTTAAGTGAACGGTATAAATTGAAAGAAAACAAACCTACAAGCCTTGGCTTTATGGGGTTTAACTCTTGCGGGGCAGGCCTGTTGGTGCTCCGGCTCCGGAGGGGAATTCCCTCGCGGCTCATCCTGCGGAGCCATCGCACGGAGCCGGACGGCAGGGCCCAGGCCTCGCCGCACAGCGCCCAGAGCAAAGGAGCCCAGGTCCTGCCGAGCCACGAGGAGCCGACCGGGTGAAAATAAGGAATAATAATAGCAACCCTCTCTCTGCACTTGCGCCCTGTGCCCCCAGCTGGCCTGGGCCCTGCAGAATACATGAATATTCCCTGCCTCATGTGCATAAAGCTCACCTGTGCACTAGATGCGGGTCTCCTTGCTCATATATTTACCCTCTTTACACCTCGTGGGTATCACGGGCTTGCAGGGAAGGGTTCTTCCCGGCGGTGCCAGCAGCCCCAGGCCCCGGCTCACCGTGTTCGGCTGCAGACGCGTGGGCAGAGCGGGGCTGGCGGGTTGGTCACTGGGTGTCCCCTGGGCAGGTGCTCCGGCCCGCACAGAGGGGAGCAGTGCAGCTCCCTGCGGCTGGATACGATGAGCAGGGCAGGGCTGCTCCAAGGGTCAGCTTGGCTGGGGCTTCCCTTGGAGAGCTCCTGTTCTCAGCTGCTTGTGGTGCTGCCGTCCCCGACCCGGCTGCGCTTCCCCGCTCGGGCGTCTGCCCTCCGCCGCAGCTCGTTCTGTGGTGGATTGACCGTTTTGGAAAATTGTGCAGAATTAAAGTGTGTCCTGTGTTGTGTGATGGCAGACCCAGAAGCTACAGGCAGTCTGCTGAGGAGAGCATGATTTTGGGGTTCCCAGGAAAATGCACCTGATATCTGGGCCACTTTTTTCCAGGAACAGAAACGAAGGCAGTAGGAGCTGATGAAGGTGAATGGAAGAAGGAATGAGGGCAGAGCAAAAGCAGGACGAGGACAGGAGCCAGGGGATGTGCTAGGAGCAAAGGACAAGAGAAACTCAGCAGGTCGAGGGAGAAGTTGAAAAGAGGGTCCCAGAAGTGGCAGGGCCCTCCTGGGAGGGAACAGAAAGATCTGCCTGCCAAATGCTGGGGATTCAGAGGCACCAGAGTCCTTGGCTGTCAGAAGAGCAGAGAAGTGACCTGTCCCTCTCCAGAGGACCGAAAGGTTCCTGAGGGCTAGCTCAGGAAGCACGGGGCGCTCTGTGGAGACCGCCTGTGCTGATGGTTGTCAGTCTGTCCATGGTGCTTTCTTGGGGGAAAAGCAATTTATTGGACATTTAAAAAATCGTAGGAAATCACTTTACAAATACTGAATCAAGTGCTTGAAGGGATATGTGTTTTTGGTTGTAGTTTGTCTAACAACATGAAAATGTTGTTCTTGTAAATGCAGTGCCCTTTTTAAAATGTATTTGGCAGCATGTCGGCATCCTGGAGTTTGGCATAATAACTGTGTGGACACATCTGAGGGACGTACCCGGGTGAGCAGAGGGGAGACAACACTGTCCTCACCATGCTCTGCGGCTGGGCAAACCCTCCCCTTCTCCCCTTTCCCTCCTGTCTATCCTCCTGAATCCCTGAATCCTGGCCCTATCTGACTATACCAGTGTTTGCAGCCCATGCCCACCTCTTCATCCCTGTTAGCCGTTCCAGGCCTGGGTGAGTGGGTCTCATTGCTCCCTGGCACCATGCCAAGAGCAGGGAGATGCCAACGTGTGCCCAGCGTGACGAGTTACGCCTGGAGCAGCATCAGGGAATAAGTTATCCCTTGACTAGGGAATTGATGATGAAGCACTTCCTCCACCAGAGAGGGCACCTGTCTTGAGGCAAGTGGATAATGCTGCTTTCTGGTGACCTCAGAGATGCCATTAGGAAGAGGGAGCCAAATGCTGTCAGGGAAAGGAGGGCAGAGCAGGACGCCGTGGGAATGCCTGTCTCCAAGCAGGTGAAGTGCCCATGCAGGGGCTGAGCTTGGCTGTCGGAGCCAGCCTTGAGCTATGGCAGAGGAGCCATCCAAGAGCTGGTGGCTCCAGCTCCTGTAGCAGCTCCCAGCGCGTCTCTACCCAGGCTTAAATCTTCTCTCGCTGTCCTCCTGGAGCTCTCCCTGTCCCTCATGTGCACGTGTGCTCTCCTCCCCTCGCTCTTCTTAATCATCCTCCATTGGCAGCCCCAGCTCCCTTAGCTGCCCACACTGTGCTGAGCATCCCCATCCTGCCAGGAGAGCTCCAGGCCCAGTGGCATAAGGAGCAAGCAGATGTCCAGCAATACAGTTCCGGAATCGCCTCATCTCAAAGGGGTCTGCTAAGTATCATGTTATCCCAAAAGGGCCTTGGAAGAGACCTGCTCGGGGCCAGAGCGGGTGGCTGGTCTGCAGAGGGTGAGGTGGCCATGCTGCCAACTGGCAGGATAAATAGAGTGTGTAAAACCCAAATTAGCTGTGTTGTCAGGTGTCACATCGGGGTCACGGCTCTCGCCTCAGGTCTCCTCGATTTATGCCTGGAGACTTT